GTTGTTGTTATGTGTGAACTGGAGCTTCATAAGGCAGACTTGCACCTTAGTATTTCACATGAAGAAGGTTTACTGTTGAATGCACATTAAATAACGGATCTATTTGATATGTGTGTGTGGGAGAGGCTTTTCCTTGCTGTCTTCACAAATAGCCAAGAGGCACATGTGGTTAATGATACAGTTGTGTGTGGGTGGAGCTAAAGAACATATTGGCTACTCCCACAAACTTTATCCTGTGATCACAGAAGTGCACGCATGGCTATGTGTGTGTCTGACAGACAGCAGGTATATCAAGTGGTTACCATAGCTTGATGGTAACCACACGTACCTCTAGTGAAACTGTGTAGTGTGCATACTTTTCACATATAGCCAGGTTTTAATCATTACAGGGTTGTTTATAATCATTGGAAAGTCTGGTGCAACCTACAGCAGAGTTGCCCTATAGTAAGAAGGTGTGGTAATCATATTTTGTTGTTAGGGGAAGTAAACACAGGCTAGAACCAGTTGAAGAGAAGTTTAAACCTGCCTATTTTGTTAGTCCTTTTTATACACTACAACCAAGTAATGAGTGCAAGTAATGAAGGCATGAGATATGGTTACTTGAGGGAGCAGGTATTGCAGAAGCAGAAAGGAAGGGGAGGGCGTAGGAGAGAGGAACCAATCAATTTACAGAGCAATGAGGAAGACAAAGCATGTTGATACATGTTCCCTATTGCTTCTTAGAGTCTAGAAGTGTGTGGAATTGTTCATAGTATTCAACAGAAATATGTGTCAAAACACTTCCTCAAGATTCTACTTTTAATCCTATAACTAATAAGCCAAAATACCAAAAAATCAACCAAAATACACAAAGATGAATATATCTGCATAAGTCTGAACTTATGAAAATGGTAAAAAACAAAAAACCCAAACCCATGTTTTTACCATTGGAAATGATCTTACCTATCTTTTTGCCTGCTTCAGTTTTTTGAGATCAGTCCAAAATGAATGTGAGCAGTGTTTATTTTCATAACTGTAAGGGTTAAAGGGTGCTGAATTCCATAGTTTCAGAATGCGCACAATTGCAGTTAAGGACAGTTTTTTAAATTAAAGAAAGCCCATGCACAACACAGCTCTGCGGGTTTCATATGCATGAATCATGCTGCTATAAAAATTTTGTTTATATTGGGGGAGGCTTAATATAAAAGTGAAAGATACCTTCTAAACAACTCTTCCATTAAAACCAGACCCTTTTCTATTGGTCTTCAGCTCTGACAGAAATTTGTAAATTAACACCTTAATCCTAAACACTTCAGCTGACAGAATATAATATTCAGTCAGGTAATTTATGCAACCTTTTTGGTTCATTGCCTTTGGAGGATGCAAAAGCATTAGCTTTGGCTGCTGTGAAATAGTTTGTGTTGTGTTGTGTAACTTATGTGTGAAGGAGCCTTCCTGTAAATCCATGAAAAGCTGGGGGAAGGCAGAAGATAACTCATTATATAGTAGGTCATGTCACAGATTTATATTAATATTTCAGACACGCAAGTCTGGACATGTTTATTTTTCCCAGCACATTGATAACATGCCAAGAAAGATTCTTGTTGCCTTTAACGGAAGTAAGTAACAGTGACCTCCTGCATTCTCCAAGGCTCAGTCATTGCAGCAGTGGCAGTGGGAAATTTCTGTTCCGATGTAAAACTGTACTGAAGTAGTTTTCTGCAAACAATGAAAAATAGCAACTAAAAATGTTTGTTGTGGTTCAGCACTTAGGTGATATAACAGTGTAACAGATAAAAATTGATAATCTCAGAATTGAACTATTGAAATACAATTTGTGTGGGATGGCTGTTGCGATTGGTTTGGAAGATTCAGCTAGTGCAGAATGCGGAGACTCGATTATTGAATGGAACACCCTCCTCTCTCTCTCTCTCTCTCTCTGTGTGTGTGTGTGTGTGTGTGTGTGTTTCTTTTACCATAAAGTTCTGCCTATAAATAACAAATGCGACATGTTCCGAATGTTATTGATGGCTGATGAGGCCCTGATCCAGCTTGGGACTAGGCTCACCCAAGAGATGGTCTTCTCCTATACGGGCTGCCTTAGTTTTTACATTCTCAGGGGAAGGCCTGCCTTACCATGCAGGGCTTTCTCCACTGTGGTGCCCACCATGTAGGATTGCTTCCCATTAAGCCTACTTGGTAAGATCTTAGTGTGGCATGTTTCTGCCAAGAACTAGGGATAGATCTCTTTGTTTGGGCATAGCCATCCAAATAACTCAAGCTATTTTCATAGCCTTGGTCATGTTCATGACATTTGATTTTATTCCTGTTTTGTGGTTTGGTTTCATGTGACCTAATTTTCATTTTAATTTTTGGACTTCTTCAACATTTCATTTTTAAATGAAAAGAGGTGTAAAGATTTTCTTAAAGAATTGTTTGTCAAAACATGATTCAGTCCTGGTCCATGGGCAAACAACAGTCACAAGTTTCTAATTGCCACACATGGGAAAGCTTGTGCAGTTGGAATTACTACAAGCCTAATGCCAAAATAATCCTGCTGACTGGCTTCTGAGAAAGGCTACCTGTTAGGTATCTGTGGTATCAAGAGCCTTGTGGGGAAGCAGCAGTTGAAGTAGTTTTACTGTGTGTGTGTGCGTGCGCGCGCGCGCGTGTGTAGGAGTAAAGTGTTTTTCAAACATGCAGTGGTTTTGCCCATCATTGGCTTAATAAGCTTAATCAGAACCTTGCACTGTAAATAAGTTAATGTTCAATCAGATTGGAACAGTTATCCTATTTACAAAGTCAGGGGTATGTTTTGCAATCTGTGCAGATTTCCTGCTATTGAAGCTATTTCTCTCCCAAGAGAAGAAATAATCTCAATGCTTGTACTGCATCTCTGTTTTGAGCTCTTATTATTTATTTATTTATTTATTTATTTATTTATTTATTTAGAAAATTTCTATGCTGCCCCATTCGCCGAAGCCTTGGGGCAGCTCACAAAACATTAGGAGGTTGAGGGAGTGCAAAAGAGGTGGTTGAATACTTGAGCATACTTCTGAAAAAGAGTGGGCTTGTTCCTGAAATTTTTAGTCATAGGTCTCTGTGTGGTCAGAGGTTGAAAATGAATAAGCAGAGCCATGTGACTATATTTCTGTAAAACTACATAGAGGATGCTCATACAGTAGCAACACTGTCAAATATACTGTTACTGTTTTTGGTTTAATGTTTTTAAGTTCTAGGGTCCATATATTTGATTCCCCCCCCCTTTCTTTATTGTTATGTTAAGACTTCCTACTGGAGTCTCTTCCCCCCTGCAGTTTTCAGAAGCAAAGTGAAAGCATTGACAGCCGGGTTTATAGTGCAAGAAATGCAGTGAATTGCACTGCTACATTAAGCACCAGATAATTTTCATTAATGCTGTGTTAACAGCACTTACTAATATATCTGTCCTCATCTCTTTGTTTGCCCATTGTACTGAGAGAGTGTCATGAGTGCCACCAGGAGGGGCGGAGCTGTTTTCTTGTGCAGTTCCATGTTGTATGAGATTTCCTCGTGAGTCTGTACACATCGGTAGGGGCCCCTGTATTCCCCCCATGCATTTGGTAGCACTATAGAAAGTTGCAGATCAGATGAGAATTATCCATGCAATTTGGTCTTCCCAAGTAGCCATAGGATTCATTCATGAACTACCACAGTGTGTTTTATGATTCCTATTATAGTTAGTAATTCTTAGTATATATAATATAGTGTGCATTTTTTGGAGTCAGTTGCTGAATTCGAGATTTCTGTGTCAGAGAATTATTGGCAAGCTATGATTACTATTCTTGAGAAAGCAGTGAAATGGAGAGTCTGTTCTTCCGGTTGCTCCCATGTCAACTTTGCAAAACAAAGGGGCCGGGGGGTGAAAGGGAAGGAATTATTAATAAGCAATCCTTAGACAGCAAGAACAAAGTGGAGCTGAACAATACCATGGTGGTGTATTTGATCAAAACTGATTTACCATCACCCCAAGATTCTGCTCAGAGTGTGTGGGATTTTGTTTGTCTCTTTGCTAAGTCCCAGTATTACATTCAATTCAACCTGCCTTATTATAGTGGAAGAAGACCATGTACAGCAGCAAATCTAGATCACTGTAGTAAAACACTAGAGGTCAAAATGGGGGCCATCATGTCATGGGAACTGATCAGTTCAGTCGTTTCAGTGGGTTTTCTTGAAAGATAAATGTCTTTCGACTTTTGCCTCTGTGGGCAGGCCATCAGGGCCTGGGAGCTCTTTCTCTAGCTGGAAAGCTGCAGCTGAAATTGGTTAAATATGCACGGAGAAGCTGAAAGGAAGAAATATGGCACTTTTTAAATTTATTAAATTTACCTTGCAGTACCTTGCAGAAGTCACCCCCCCCCATTCCATATGTTTTGTGTTGCAACCTGGAACTGAAATGGACTTAAAGTGGTATTGTTATCACTTCATGTGCAGAAGATACTCAACATCATGCAAAGATTTCTATTGTGCCACAATGTTAGGAAAGAAAAGCAAGCTGGCACTTGTTGGTTGCATAAGCATTAACCCCCTTGGCTGTGACATGCCTGAGTAAACTCTGCTGCAACCCACTACCTCTAGGAGTTACACAGTTTAAGCTTTTATTGCCATTGGATTGTTCCCTAAGGGTGCAATCCTATGCATATTTAGACAACTCCCAGCATGATCCAGCCAGCATGGAATTGTCAGATTTTTTCCCTCTTTAAACATGCATAGGATTGCACCTTCATGAGCTTCTTAAAAGCCTCTAACATATAGTTCAGTCATGACTTATTTAAGGTGACTTATTTAAGGCCTAATTAATTTGTTGTTTTTCATTTCCTTTTTTTTATCAGATATATGTTTAGTTAACATTAGTCCATGCAATTGTATTTTTATGATGAAACAATTGGCAACACTTCACTTTTACTAGCCATTGCCAAAGTGTTAATGTGGGAAATGTCCGTGCATAATAAATACTAATGAGTTTCTTTTCTCTCCCTTAGAGCCAGCAAGCCAGAGATGTCCGACAAGATGTCAAGCTTCTTGCATATTGGAGATATTTGTTCTTTGTATGCAGAAGGCTCAACCAATGGATTTATCAGCACTTTGGGGTAAGGGTAACAATCTTCCTACACAGCAGATGTGAATTTCTTTAGATGGGACTAATCATCTAAAGACGATGTCACCATTCTGTGTTTAACAATACTGGGTTGTTCTTTTCTCCACTAAAACTATAACTCCTGGATTATCCGCCCCCTAACAATTTGCATTTCATTGCTTCTGGAGGCGGTCATGGAGGAATATCATGTAGTTTTTTATATGGATGAAGAACTGGCAATGTAGGCCAAAGAAAGATGGCAATGTCCATGGATTCTGTTGCTTAGAAAGAGTTCTTGATTGAGGAAGTGTGATGGCTTGAGTGGTGATGGGGCTTACTGGCTTTGTATGGACATTTAATGTTAGTAGGAGCCAAGTTATTTGATGCCTGGTATCATTTATATAATAATGGGATTCAGGGAGTGGTAGTGTGCCAAACCAGAGGATGAGGACCTGGCTGGGTTTGGTACCAATCACAGGGTAACCCCTCATTTTTACAAGCTCAGAGTTGAATGTATGGCAGATGCATAGTATTTCAATTGTCCTCTCCTTCCTCGGTGTTTGCTAATAGGTAGTTTTGGTTAAAAATCAGTCTGAGATAAATCATAGTTTAGTGTGATGAGAATGAGTTACTATGAGCCATGCACTCACCCTTGTCCTCTGGCATAGATGCAGCAAGCATTTTTGAAACCTGTGTTTCCACTTTACATTAACAACAGTATGACTTATGTCATCCAAATCTGATGAACCTGTGCTTCATTTGAAAGAAACCAATTTCAAACCTACTGGTTATAAAGCTGGCTACTTTAAACAAATCATAGTTAATATGAATCATAATTTAATGTAATGGTAACTAGGAACAAAAGCTTCCAATATCTGCCTCATAGCAGGAAGGTGAATGAAGAGGGAGCACTGAATTTGAAGGTTCATTCTTATGCCAAAGCTAGTTTTAGCACTGCGTGTGAGTGTGGTTGGTAGTTGGACTTTGAGCATTGTTAGCTAGAAAAGTTGATGAAAGAGTTGTTGATTTTTAAATATGATGCAATATGTATATCTAAAGCTACTTTTTATAAGAGGTACTTTTGAGAAATGATTTATGTAATGGGTATATAGTTTAGACAGTGTTAGCCACCAACTTTTCTTGAGAAAATGCACTTATTTTTTTCCTACAGTTCTAGTAGATAACTACATTTTTGAAAGAGGGATTGATAAGGAAACTGACAATGGTCTTGCCATTAATTAGAAAATAGAAAACAAGAGAATCTAGAAAGGTAATAAAGAATGAACAAAATTTTACACAGGGCATAGGAACACAATAAACGCCTAAGAGCTTCCATTTTTCTATATTTCTATACTGCCTTTTTGACAAGGTCTTCAATGTGTTTACATTTTAAAATATCAAATAAAGAAGTTGCAAAAGACAAAATTAAAAAACAGCATAATTATTTCAGGCTGCAGACAGTCTCTTTAGATGACAAGCTTCCTGACCAGACCTCCATTTCTCTGTAGCAAAATGAGATTCTGGGTTTGAAAGATCCCATGGTGAAGTTCCAGCAACAGATCTCAAATACAACCAGGATAAATATTATCCCTGATCTTTAAAACAATCTTCAGGTCTTGGTTGAGTTCAGTTGGTTGTTTTGTCAGTGCACATTCTACAAATGTATATGGACATATTTAAGTATGCAACACACACTGCAGTTTTCCAATCCAATGAGTTACCATGTTCCCACATTCTGAACATGTTCCCAAGCAGTAGCTAAGCCATGATGGAAACATATATAATTTAAATTTACAAAAAATCAAGTATTGTGTGAGCTTGGACTGCACAGCCTCATAATACAGCATTACTGAACAACATCTTTGACCAATATCTGACTCTGTTAAGCCTACATGGAAAAGCTAATGTGGGTTCACATAATGGGAGAAGGAAAGGAATCCATGCTGGCTTCCTTTTCCCACTCTGCATGTGCTGATCACTTGCCAACACAAGTCATCATGGATTCTTTTTCTTTCCCAATCGTGAACTCAAATTAGCTTTCCATGAAAACTCCATTAATCAGAAATTGGTCAAGTTCAGATGTCATGGAAACCTGTACCCAAACATGGGTAATTATGGAAATGAGGCAATGTGCAACTGGCATGCACAGGGTGCAGGAGAGAAACCAGCATTGCTTCCCCCTCCCCTTTCCTTGATTGTGCGAATCCAGTCATAGCTTTTGGCAAATTCCCCTTGCAAGCATCTGGTTCCCTTGCACGTGCGTCGTCACATTTGCTGTTGATCCCAGCATACTCTTAGCCTTTCCCCATCTGAGTCTATGGTACTTGTGATGAAGCCAGCTGGTTTCAGCATCCTTCAAAACAACCTCTTTTTTTAAAGTATATGAAAATCCAGTTGAACCAGATTGAACTGAGCTACTTGGAAGGTTTCACTAATAAGAGAAAAACTTCAAGAAAGGTGGAGAACTGGATCCAGGAAGTCTGGTGGAAAGAGGAACTTGGTGTAGTGAAGACAGGAAGGAAGTGGTTATTGAAACTGCAGTACATTATCTGCTATAAAAAATAGAGACACTGAAGCAAAATGGAAAAGTTAAATAGATGTGCTAATTGTCTTCCAATATCTTAAGGAGTCTTTTCTCCTCCAAAGAGTCTCTTGAACCAAAACTATCCGCATGAATATCATTGCTTCATTTATTATTGCAAAACTGCTTGAGTATCAAGTGATGGTTTGTTCTTTTAAACTTGAATTCACTAGATGATTGAATCTTACTTTTAACTGGAAAAGAAATGTTTAAGAGTATTGTTCTTAGAGGGAAGTCTGGGGAAGGCTGCAGAGCCTTGGCAAAGCAATTATGCACTGCTGCTTACTCTATGTGTTGATACGATTGCCAGATCAGTTGATGATGATAACCCTCAGTGGATTTTGTGAAAGGGTTTCAAGGAACTAGTAAAGCAAAATTTGTCTCACAGACTAATGAGCAAGACATATGAACATAAGGTCCACTTAAAGCTGAGTCGTACCTTTGGCAATCTAGTACAACACAGAAGGGCAGCAGCAGATTCCTTCTTAGCCATACCTGGAGATTGAACCTGGGACCTTTGGTAAGCAAAGCACTGAGCTGCAGTCATTCTCCTGTAGGAGCAACATGTAACTTTGGAACTCAAATATTCCCATTTAAGGTTATCTTGGAAAATATGGCGCCTTGCCATTTAAATGTAGAGCTACTAAACAAGTATGTTGAATTAGGTTTGAATATTGGATTCTCATTTTCTTCATTAAAATTGTTTTTTTTTTATTCTAAAGCAGTGTTTAGTACCTGACATGACCAAAACCCAAACACCAAAAATACATGTACTGCTTTATTTTTTAATTTCATTAAAAAAAATTGGCTGCATTTAAGAGTAGAACCTTTTCAAGGCAACAGTGTAAATTCTACGGAATCCTATACTTCATTAACAGTTAGTGAATCCTGTGGAAACTACTGTGCAAACGCTTTCATGTTAAGAGCTTATGAATGATGGGAAATGAATATAGCTACACACAGTAATGCTTTTTTGTTCAAGTAAATATTTCTCTGAGGTGGAATCTTGCTTCATATTCCTGTGAGATGTTGGCTTGTTACTTAATCACAGCCTTGCTTCTGTTTTTCCAAATAAAGTGATCTGATGGTTTTAGTTGCTAGTCTGTAATATACCTAATTGCCTTTGAGTGCTATGCATGCTGTGTAATCCTTATTTTTATCATTTGTTTGCCTAGAATAAATACTCCTTTGCCTGTGGTCTAATTTTGGAACAAGGCATATCTTTCTGTCTGTCTATTTGCTTTATGTACATTTTTTCTTAACTTATTTTCTGAGCTTTACCAAGTTTCTGAGCTTTGGCTTTAACACCCACCTCATGATTTTCTGATGAGAGAATGGCCAGATGCAATGGACTTACATACTTTTAATACCATGTAGAAATGAGAATTTAAGCAGCTCTAGCTTTTCATGTCACAGCACTGTAAGGGTGACAAAAGCTGCAGAAGCTAAAATTTCTCTTATGTGCAGCTATTAAAATGACAGAAGTCCTGTTTTGTATTCCATTGTAAAGCCTTAACCTTCCAACTCCATCTTCTGTGTGTACAGACCCAAGGCTTCTCAACAGATGCTTTCCAGGATTAAGATAGGTTCCATTACAAACAACAGGATTTTTCTGTTTGTCTTTCTCTATATTCCATTGCATAACCACAAGGTGGTGCCGCAATATAGTGGAATTACACAAATACATGAGAGGGTCTGGCTCCTCCCACCATCTCTAAACAGTAGTACATTTTCTTCAATCTAAAAAAGCTGCAGAAATGGTTGCAGAGAATGCAAGACTTCATGGATGATGGCAGCATCATGTAAAGCAGCTGCAAACTACCGAGCATACAGTATGTGTCTTGTGTACAGACGCTCCGAGTGTAGGCTGTTTTCTAGGCCCAAAGCCAGTATTAAAATCCTGTTAACGATAGAATGGTTAAGGATATAATAGGGGCTTTTTGCTTCCCAATTGAACTTTAGATCTAGTGTCTTATGATGGGAAGGAAATCTGTGTCAGTCCCTCACATGATCTCCTGGGGAAAGTTTTTAATTTGCCACAGGTGGCCAGGCAAGTAGCTAATTGCAAGCCTGAGATAAAATGGAAATGATGAACTGACAAATACCACTCCTTCAGATGCAGTGCTGGAAGAGGAAACTGAATATTCAGTGTGAAAGCATACTTTAGTTTTTAGAAATGCAAACTCCATACTTGCTTTGTTCTTTAAAAAACAAACAAACAAACTGCCAGTAGCAACATTGCCTTAGTCTTGGAGATCCATGTGCTAACTGAAGGAAACAAAATTTCCTTAGGATTACACATGGGTGCATAATGTGACCCACACATTCCCTCACTGAATTGATTTTAACTTCAACTAGCTTACAGTTAAGCATACTTAATTGAAACCAAGTTCTTCTGTGTCCCATGGTATCTACATCTAGATGAATGTTTA